AACTAATAATAAAGCTGAAATAACAAATTGAAATAACTACCAACTAGCACTGACATAACTAACAGAAATATGCTGCCATACGAACACAGTGGGGACCACATCAGTGGGGTCCACATCAGTGTTCTCTACATTTCTTATCATATAATAAAAGTTAATTGTTTCCAATCAGAGAAAAAAAAAAAAAAGCCAATATGCTCAAACAAATAGACACTAGTAAAAAGAAAATGAAAAAGAAAAATATGGTGGCATGGGCAGAGGCAGAAGATCTTTTTATGGAATGAAGGATGCCCTTGAGACTTAATCCCTCTTCCTTGGCCATTAAGGAGATTTTATCAATGCAATTAGATAATGGAAAGATCCGTAGTGGGGCATTTATACTTGCAACTGTATCTATGAGATCAACTAAAACCTTCCATACCTGACTGTCCATATCAGCTAAATTGATATAGAACTAAAACCCATAGTATATGGGTTGACTAGATTGGGTCTTGGAGAGTTTAGGGGTTTGTGGGATGGTCCATGGTGCTTAGATGGAGGCTTTAATGTGATTAGATAACCAAATGAAACAAACAATCCCAACCAGATGGTCTCGACCATTATGAGGAAGCTTAATGAGTTTATTGATGGTTGTGAACTAAAAGAGATTCCTTTCCAGCAGACCTTGTTCACTTGGTCCAATTTACAAACCTCCCCTATTTGTTCAAAGTTGATAAATTCATTTTCAATACTGAGTGGGAAGAACATTCGGTAGGGTTGATGTAAGGGCTTTGCCAAGAGTCACTTTTGATCATTGCCTTATTAGAATTGGAATTAAGGCTTTTTTTTTGAGTGGCCCCACGCCTTTTAGGTTTAAAAATATGTGGCTTACACACTTGGACTTTATTCATAGGGTGGAAAAGTGGTGGAATGAAGAAGTGAGGGGAGTACATTGGAAAGGAGTAGGATTCCATACGAAGATACAAAGGCTTAAAAGCAAAATAAACGAGTGGAATAGAGAACAATTTGAAAGAATTAAGGAGAGGAAATTAAGTTTTGACTTCCTAAATTGAACAAATGGATGATAAGGAAGGTTAGAGACTCTTAACTGAAGAGGATAGGAGATCGAAATGGCCCTTGAAGAAGGAATTGGAAGAAACATTTTTTAGGGAAAATATCTATTGGAGGCAAAAATTGAGACACCAATGGATTGAGGGGGATGGCAATACTAAGTTCTTCCATGCAATTGCTAATGGTAGGAGAAGAAAGAACTTTGTGGATAATTTGAAAGTGAATGGAGAAGTATTGAATGATCAAGAGGAGATTGCCAACTACTTTATAAAGCAGTTTATAAATGGTAGGATGATGTTGGAATTAGTGTGGAAGGATTGGATTGGTCAAGATTGGATTCTAAAATAGCAATAATGTTGGAAAAGGATTTTGAGTTGGAAGAAATTAGGGGGGGCGAGGTTGTTTTTCAATGGACAAATCTAAAGCTCCAAGACCAAATGAGTTCACTATGGTTTTTTATCAAGATTGTAGGGAGATTATTAAATCTGATTTTTTGGTCCTTGAGGAGTTTTCTAGGAAACATTTTATTAGTCCTAGGATTAATTCCACTTTTCTAGCTTTGACACCTAAGAAGGGATATGCCATTCAGCCAAGAGATTTTGGACCCATCAACCTAGTGACTAGCATTTATAAAATAGTGACCAAAGTGTTGTCACTAAGATTAAGAACAACCTTGCCCAATTTGATAAGCCAGTCCCAAAGGGCATTTATTCAAGGAAGACATATCATTGATCAAAGCTTAATAGCTAATGAGTGTGTGGAGGATTTCAAGAGAAGGGGACAGAAAGGCTTTGTGTGTAAGTTGGATTTAGAGAAAGCCTATAATATGGTTGATTGGTCTTTCTATTGAAAATTCTGAGAAATTGTGGATTTGGGGAAAGGTGGTGTGCCTAGATTGAAGGTTGTCTAAAACCTTGTCGCTACTCGATTGTAGTCAATGAAGTGGTCAGAGACTTTTTTCTAACTACCCGAGGGTTAAGGCAAGGGGATCTCCTCTCTCTCTTCTTATTATCTTGATAGTTGATGTATTTGGTAGATTTATTTTGAGAACTAATAGGTTGAACCTCTTTAGAGGTTGGAGGGTTGGTAGAGATGGTACTGGAATAACACACCTGCAGTTTGTGGATAATACAATCAATTTTTTCTAAAGGTGGGGATCCTTGGAAGGCAAGGAATTTGAAGTGGGTGGTAAAGTTGTTTGAACACCTCTCTAAGTAGAAGGTAAATTTTGAAAAGAGTTGCATGGCCGGGATAATTTGGGATGAGGAGTTTGTTGAAGCAGCGGAATCTTTAGGTTGTCCTACCACTAGTTGGCTAATGAAATACCTAGGTATGCCCCTAGGAGATAACCCATGTGAAGGAAGGTTTTGGAGCCTAGTTGTAGAAAATTGTGCCAAGAAATTGGCAGTTTGGAAGATAAATTGTGTTTTTTCTGGGAGTTGAATTACTTTGATAAAGTCTACCATAGAAAACCTACCAGTTAACCATCTCATAGTCTTTGGGATGCTGAAAAGGGCGGTGTTGAAATTAGATAAGATTATGAGGGGTTTCTTGTGGGAGCTTGATGAAGGAAGAAATGATCATCTGGTTAGGTGGGAAGTGGTGTGCAAGAGTAAGGAATAGGGGGATTTGGGCATAGGTAATATAGAGAAGAAATATATAGCTTTGTTGGGTAAATGGTTGTGGAGATGGTCATTGGAGAGGGAGAGGCTCTAGCATGGTGGTGCAAGTATTATTCATGGACAAACAAGTAATGGTTGGGATGCTGGTGTATCTCAGTAGGCTATTTTGAATTCTCCTTGGAAGGTTATAAATGGAATTCTTCCTCAATTTCTAAGCATTATCAAGTATGGTGTTTGTACTAGAGATAAGGTTCTTTTTTTGGGAAGACATTTCAGCTGGTAATTCCATCCTAAAGGACCTTTTTCTTTCTACTCCCTCTCTATGTTTAAAAATGAACCCATCCAAAGCTTTGCTTCTATTTCTCAATCGTCTGGTGTTAGCTGGAACTTGGGCTTTAGAAGAGACTTGAGAGACCATGAGTTTGATTAGGCTGCCTTGCTCTTAAAATCTCTTGATTTTGTTTTATAGATCCTTTTAAATCAGACAATTGAGTTTGGACTCCTCACCCATAGGGCCTTTTCTCTTATGCTTCTTTTTTACCTAATTTCTTCTTTGTCCTTATCCCTCATCCTTTCCACTGCAATGAAATTTGGTCCAAATCCATCCCTCCCCATGTGGGAGACCTTTGCTGGGAAGTCCCTTATGGGAAACTAAACACTTTGGATAACTTGCAAAAGAGAATAGCTACACTAAGTATTTCCCCAAAGTGGTGTATCCTCTACAAAGCTAATGGAGAAAGTTTTTACCACTTACTAATCTCCTGCCCTTTTTGTTGTAGGCTTTTGGGAAAAGCTTTTTATTTGGACGCAAGTGTAGGGGTGAAAATGGACTGGATGATGATCCAATCCTATTTTGTCGGATTCGGATATCCCCCTATTGGGTTTTCAGATCGGATCAAATAGAATAATGGGATCCAATTAAAAATCGGATTGAACTTGAATATTATTTATTTATTTATAAAAATGTTTATATTGCATTTTTGTAATTTTTGTATTATTTATTTTTTTATAAAAAGGCATGTATATATATGATAGAAATAGTTGAAAAAATGCTTATATTTTTTTGTTTTTCTTTATATAGACTATTATTCTTTTCCTTTTAATAATTTGTTAAATTTTATAGAAATCAAATCAGATTGGATCAAATTCAGATATCTGACATCCTTAATGAATTCAAATTCGAATTGACCTTTGTGAGATTCAATCAGATCATTGGATTGGATCGGATAATAAGATTTATCTTACCGAATATACCCTGATTCCAATCCAATCTGATCCATTGACATCCTTGTGCAAGTGGATTGTGCCTTTGCAAATTGGTAGTCTATTTGACCCTACAACCTTTAGTTGGTCTAAGATAAGAGGTAAAATCTTATGGAAATGTGATAGGACTGCCTTGGTTGGGATAGTTTGGGATGATAAAGTGCTAAAATTTTCAAGGATAAGGAAAGGGATGAGGTTGTTGGTTGGGAATGTATAGTTAATAGAGCTATACATTAGTCTAAAACTTTGGACTTATTCTCACAGTTTTCCTTTGATGACATTTGGAGTAATTGGGAATTGGCAGCAAAAAGCTCTATTTGTAAGACCAAACCAAGCATGTTTGTAGTTTGGAGGCCCCCCGAAGAAGGTTTTATCAAATTAAATTTTGATGGCAGTAGTCTAGGTAATCCTGGGCCATCTAGAATTGGAGGAGTCTTCGAGAAGATAGAAGGTCATATTCTTGCTTTATTCTTTGGTCCTACCAGAGTGGGGGATTCTGAAAATGCAGAGTTCCAAGCAATGTTACAAGGAGTACAAAGTGGGGGGTTCCTTCAGCCATATTGGACAAGGAGTACAGGCAGATTTTTACAGCTCATATTGGGCAAGAAACCTAAGGTAGATGGCATGCAGCATAGTCTTTCATCTTTATAAGTTATAACTCATATTGAAAATATATTCAAGTTATTCTGTTTGAAGAACTAATTAAAACTTGTTAATAGGATACTTGTGCATTAGTAAATACTAGTAACAGACAATAAAGAATTATAATGTGAACTATAAAAAGATTACAGTTTAATAAAAATTCCAAATATGTGTCTAAGTCAAGCAAGGTCTCTTCTAGATCATTTTACTTTTTACTTATTTATTAATGCATAAGTGCATAAATTATCAAATATATCTATCAAAATGTACCCTGATGAATGAAACTGCAGGACATTAATCTATATCAAGTAACACCTTGAGTTATAATCCAGAAGAAGCATAGAATAGGCATGTCCTAGGAAAGTAAGTTTTGATTTACATATAATCAATGACATTGGAGTTATGTTATAAGAAGAACAATCATACTAGGTGGCTTGTTTGGAGGCTCTGAGGCAATATGAAATTTCCGATAATTCCGAAGAATTTCACAAATTTCAGCAGGCCGCAACCATCGATTTTGTGCTTCCAGTAGTATTTGCTCAATATCTATACATGAAAAACAAGACAATCACGAAAGCATTCATAAGATATCTCTACAAGTAGGTCATAACCTAATGCAAGGACCTATCAATGTATAGAACTTTAAGTTAAAACTAGAAGGTTTAAATGTAATGCATATCTCATCTGTTAAGAAACAACCTAGGATTGTTAGAGAAAGATTCAGCTGATTGACATTCAAAATCTAAGACAAAACCAGCAGTTAGTTACTTTCTGAAACTTTATTAGTACCACAAGAGTCAACTCATCAAATACTGCAACATTGTAAGAAAAAATATCTGATTACGAAAAAGAGCTTAAAAGATAGAAACAAAACTAAATGACAAGGTGCCTACAAAAGATAGCTTACAACAGCAATTTGAGAGATCAAATAAGCACAAGGCAATTCTTAGAATATTGGGGCCCTGTCAACTCCTCAGAAGAGCTTCCAAAGTGGTGTGGCTGTTCTTTCTCTTTGAGCTCATGCTACAGGCTGATCTCATCTCACCCAAGCGTGACTGTTCATTGGGCTTGGTTTTGGAAAGCTCAGGCTCCACCTAAAGTGGTTTTCTTATTGTGAACAATAGCTAGGGACAAGGTGTTGACTATGGATCGTCTTTTGAATAGAGGCATGCCCATTGAGAATTCCTGCAGGTTTTGGAGTTTGAGTCCAGAAATTGTCGCCCAGCTTTTTATTTATTGCACTTTCACTCACTCAGTCTGGGTCCATTTCCTAAAGCTTTTTAATACAAGCTGGGTGACACCCCCTGATGTTCCTTTAGCTTCCTTAAAGCTGGGTTTTCAGTGAGAGGGAAGATACTTCCACTTGAACTATGCTGAGGGGTGTGGAAGGAGGGGAACAGTCAAGTTTTTGAAGATAAGACTGCTCCTTTTGAAGCAGTGTTCAGCAAGATAGAGTGGATGATGGTCTTGTGGGTGCGGATTTTGAAGCTATTTTCAGGTATACCTTTAGCAGATTTTTTGAATAGATGGAGTTCTTTAATTTTTTATACAGTTTCATAGAATGTATAGTTGGGGTTTCTTGGTATACTTGTAAAGATCTTTTTGTATATGCTTTTGTGGGCAGCTTGCCCTCCTCATTAATGAATATATATGTTAACTTGCTTATCAGAAAAATAAAAAATAAAAAAATAACTTCCGTCCAGAATCATCAATAGTCTCTTCAAAGCCACAATAGCAGATGGATAGGATTGATATCCTCTTTTCCACTGCAGATATAGAATCAGAGTAAATCATTCCTTCCAATATGAAGGAAAACTAGTATTTTATACATGGTATCAGGCTTAATTGTTAACACCTTAGACAAAGATTGATACATTCTGAATAAATATCAAACAAGACTACCCAGGCAATTTCTTGCACCTTCTTTTACCCTTTTTTTGGCTATTTAGGCTCGCTTCTGGGGACCATTGCTTGGTGGAATGGTATAATCTCAAGCTGACAAGCATGATACTGTAATTTTCTGAGAGCAGTCGCTTCATGCAAAATTCCAGAGATTACGTCCATGACTCTTTTACCCAAAATAAAAGGTCATGACTCCACAGAAAGGTGATTTTGAGCCATTTGGTAATAGACAAGAGGGACAAAATAGGTTGATTGTTCTGACGTCCAAGAGAATTATCTTCAAGCAAACCATCCAACAGCCTTGTGCTTACTGGTTCTTTGGTTCACCACATTTCCAAGTTCCAACCAAGTGTAGAATCATAAATCTCAATATCTTCCATATTTTCCTTTCGCTTCTGGAAGAACTATACTACTCCCCTTGCCACTTTCATTGTCATTTTGCATTGCGAAATGAGATGAGTAGACTTTACAATTGTGCATGTACTGGTCACTTTCATAATGTAAGATGATTGCCTATCTCTCTTTTTCCTCCCCAGCCAATTCCTCTTTCACAACGTTCCATGTCCCCACAGATGCTTTCCACAGTTCTAATTGATTCTTCCTTATCGCATAGTAGAAGTTCCATGGCAAAGATCCGTGAAGATCACTAATTTCATTACTAATCATTTCACAATATACAGAGTGTTCCCTAAGCATAACATAAAGCGTTTCCCGTGAATTCGAATCTATAACGCGTGAAAATAACATCAATTCAACTATAAGCTAAATATATCCATACTTAATGCTTAACCAGCCAGTTGTATTAGAACATTCATAAAAACAAGGAATTCAACAAAATAAAACTCGAATTCAACAAAAAACCTGCAAAATTAACGCAGAGTTCTCACCTAATTGGTTGCTCAGACTGTATCGCCTAGTCTCCGCCATGAACGAACTTTTCAGCAAGCTATTGAGCTCGATTTCAGCACCCTACTAAAATCCTCATCATCAAACTCGAACCGAGAATTCGCTTATGCACATGAGAAATTGACGAGAACTGATTCTTCAAATTCGACTTACAAGTCAATACGATCGCATCAGACCATATAATAAAGCATCTGGAAACTCGAATTACTCGAAAAAAAATAAAAAATGTTAGAATAGGAATAAAGAAAGAAGGCGAGACGGAACCCACCTAAAGTGAGTGCCTCGGTCTGGGTCAGCCGCCGATATGGACTTGAGGGTTAAAACAAGAGAAGATGAATGCTAATCAAATCATACTCTTGCAATTAGGATTGGAAATCTACTTTAAGCAACGCTCACGCTCAGTTCTCTAATTGTCATTTATCAAACATCTCTATGTGAGCACGTGTATGGTTCTTTCGGAAGGGGTGATTATAGTGCTACTTGCTTGCTAAACATTAATATGGATATGGTAGCGAAAATAAATAGATACCGGAAAAGTTTAATCAATCAACGGGTACATACGAGGCGCTGTCAAAATTCACCGGTGACGGGGAGGGATTTGATTGGCCAAAGCTTTTCGGTTTCATATCTTCCGGCATCAGAGATTTACCAAAAGAAAAGTAAACGCATTGATAAAAGCGCGTACGGAAATGGGTAGGACGGCAAATGGATCGAATCGAATCGAATCGGGATAATTGAGATTCGAATGGATTGTGGATTTGAGATCGCACATCGATATCGTGAATAAAATAATCAAAATCTTCAAATGCTAGTACGTGGTACTGTAGAGTGTAGACTTTATGCTATCAAGACGAACGAAGCGTGACTACACAACATTATCCAAAAAGAATTTAAAATGGCTTCACTTCGAAAATTGTATTTTGTACATAAGATTGTAGTTTGTATATCGTGAATAAAAGGAATTGGGCATATGATGGATTTAAAATTTAAGACAATTCCATTGTTAGTTACGGACCATATGGTATAAATTTTTATACAGATATATTTTCAATGGATATGGGGGTGGATCCGTGGTTGATCAAATTATAAACGGATGGAGTTCGGGTCAGCCTTAATCTGATGGATCTTAATTTGCATCTATGGAATCACGTGCGTTAGAGCTTGAACCATCAATTACCAAAGTTTGACCAGTCCGATGGATGTCAGTAGTAGAGTCGTGATCGAGTGAAGTTGTCATAATAATATAATATATCAATACTGCTTCTTAAATCTAACGGCCGAGATCTCGTGCCTAGCAATTGGAACCTGTGCGCGCTTTGTTTGCAGATTGCACCTCTACTTGGAATCCTTTTGTTTGGATATCAATCGAGTAGATGATTCCCGGTGAGACCGGCTTCAGTCGGGGCAAATCCATACCTTGCATTGGAAATATCTCCCCATGAAATAAAGTATGCAAGTATGGAGATATTCTCAATGCAAAGCAATAAAGGTTGCCCGAACAGAGTTTGCCCTGACTGAAGCCAAACTCATTCCCAGTGGCATGTGAATTTGGAAACAAGAGTTCCACTATGATATGGAAAAGATATTAATATATGAAAAACTTCTGACCAGTCAATGGAAATCATAAACGTGGTAGCCAATCAGGTGTTGTTTATCAAAATTAATGGGTGGGTTTTGATTGATCAAAACTCTTCCCATACCATATCTTTTCCACATCATAGATTTTCCCTGAAAACAATCCTTTTTTTTCTTGAAAATTGGTAGGGTCCCGACATTAGGGCTTTTTTTTTCAGAATAAACCGTTATGGTACATCCCTCTATGAGTTGTAGAGATGGGGATTAGAAAGATTATTTCCTTGGCTCGGTTTGGGAAGAGTACAACTCTTTACCAAAATGGAGAATATTTCCGTGAGTACCTTGAATGATGATGGAGGGTATCCAGTGATTGTGTGCACAACTCTTTACCAAAATAACATTGTCAGTGTCAGGGTTCTTCAAGCTTCCTGATGGGCTCCTGTTTGGATCTGAATACCAATGTTCCAGTGGAAAAATTGTGATCCCTCTAGAGGTGATGCTGAAAAGGATTTGAACTTCAATATGACAAACTAAAACTTGTGATTTCCCCAAAGACCATGCAGTAGAGGATCTGAGTTCTAATATACATTCATAAAATCTACCCTTGATTTTTTATATCTTTACCTTGTGCGCTGTGCTGTTGTTCTATAAACTAAAAAACAGTTAGTCAAGTCTGATACCCAAGTCTTTTCTTCCAAAATCAACAACTGAAGATGTTGATTATATTGTAAATGTACCTTATAATGGTTAACTGATGAAGGGATGCTTAATTTGAAGTACCTCATTAGGTGAAATGACAGCATTATAGTTGCACCTTAAGAAAATACACCAGGGTCCATCCTGAGGATCCAATGTTTGTGTTCATTCTACTTTAAGGACTATCTTCATGAACTCATACACGAAGTAACTTATAGCAGCTGATGGTAGGACCTGAAAAATGATGAGGAATAAGAGTAAGATGAGACGACAACAGGCTTGAACCAGGAAAGATAAATTTAACATCACCATAATTCAAGATTGAGCAGTGCTAGCCATATGGTTGGTCAAACATGTCCTTGAATACAGATGATTGACACTGTGGATCTGGTGTATCATGCCAGACCCAGTATGATGGTGTCCAACTACCATCACTCCATGGATGGGACAACTGCAACCTTGGTTATACTGACACAATTGTCATGATAAAAAAGAAAAAAAAAATACATACATGCATACATAAATATAAATATATAGGGCAAAACAGGATTATTATCGTTGGCCCCCATACAGTTGGGATAAAGCTTGGATGATGATGATGATATATATTGATCACTTAATGAATGTCATAAATATAATTTGGAGAAGAGAGAAGCTCTAAGAGTGGGCTTCTAAATCTGCAATTATAAAATAAATAACTAGACATGTGAATGAGTCAGGTTCAGTAACGCATTTGACTCAACCAAGACTAATATATACTAATATTTCAATGCAGAAATGTCAACAGGTTGGGTTTAGCATTGATCAACCACAAACTAGAACCTGATTAAGGCTGAGAGTTTACCACTTAACCCAACCTACTAACAACCGTATAAATGACTGCAACCTACCAAACATGCATGAACCACATAAAGCTCCAAGATAGCAATACTCCTTAGCAAGGTTTCAAATTACCACAACATATCGGTCTGTATCATATGACACGTAATGATCTTCAGGGGACATTTTTGGTGCAGAAAATCTCCTCAAGGACCCTGTTTGATAAAGAATATGAAACCCCGTATATGTTGTCCTGGATCAAAGTAAACGGAATATAGTTTGTATGTGGTTGGGGGAGGAGAGAAAATAGGAAACTGGATTAGTCACTAAATGACAAGCAGATTGAAACTAGACTCTCTAATGCAACAAGATGGGCCTATTCCAATGTGAACTTATGTCCAAACACATGTAAAGACCCTATGTTAGAGCCCAAGGAAGAAGCCTATTCTAGTCATTTTGCAGCTCAATCCATGGTACACAGGACCCTTAACCCACAGACTGAAAACAGGCAATTACCTAATGTTGGTCCCAGCTATCTGCGGTCTTGGGAGGGTAAGACTGGATACAGACCTAATCCCCTTTTTTTGCAAACAATGGCGCCAACTAGACTCAAACCTGCGTTCTCACACTTGTCATCCCAAGATTTTATCATTACACCAAGCAATAAGAATATTCCAAATAAGATGCATGAGAAGTAAGATCAATCAGAGAATATTCTAGATGTTTAAAGGAGATGTACCCCATTATTTCCTTTTTAGTGAATGAATATTATGATATTTAAGCTATGCAACTCCGTTGTGGTTTGAGAAGTGAGACTATTATCCTGGTGGAAAGACTCCACCTTTTTCTCTTAGTGGGATTCTAACCAAAAGATTGGAACCTAGTAATGAAACTTTATTGGTTATCTTCCTCTTTATCCTTCACTTCTCTAGCTCCTTTCCTTTACCCTTTGGTGTTTTAGTTCTTACCATTTTGGTAAAACCATCATTAAAGGCATCTTTTGAGCTTAAAGCTCAGCAACTTGAACAGAAAAAATGCCATGAAGTTCATGCCCAATTTACAACCTCGCCTTACACCTTGCACCAGCATCACCCTCCCAAACCTCTAATATAAGGTTCTACAATCTTATACATTTTATTTCTTAGAAGCATAACATAAAATAATATCTTGACCAAAAGCATAGGGCTTAATATGTGGAAGAACATTTATATGGTAATGCAGAACCTCCCATTTGCTTTTCCATCAATCTGGTTTGGGTGCATGCACAGATTGTGCATGATTATTCTCTTGTGGGAATTTGGACTGATCTAGCTACCAAGGTGTGGAAGGAGATCAGAAATTTAAAAGTCCTGATTCAGGTACTTATCACATCTTACTAATGAATATCTTGAGTGTCTCTTCAGGAGATCTTGATGTCTAGATCCTAAGACCAAATCAAAAGGAAAAGAAATGATCATAAACCAAAACCGTCTTTGCCCAATAAATTGCACTTATATGGCATATTTACATTCTTGATTGCACCTAGTTATAGACACTCCACAGCGCCCTAATATAATAACTCAGAGAATGAGATAACTGAGAGATCTTTGTTAATATACCTGCAATAAGCTGGGAATGAGTCCTGCATATAATGCAGGAACACCTCCTTGCTCAACTATCTTCACACAAGTAGCCAATGCACTCAATTTTGTTGCCTGAACCTGCATTTGGAGTTGTCTCCTCACAACTTCAAATGGATATGTAGCAGCTTCAGCACAGGCACCAGCAACAGCCCCATACAACAAGGTTCTAACAGGACCCAACTCCAGCTGATCCAAAGCATTCAGTTCCTGGCCTTGTTGGTTCATGTGCTGAATTCTCTTCCTTCCTTCTGGTGAATGTAGATAAGCTGACTTCAATATATCATACACACCATAAAAGACTGCACCTGAAGGTGCCATGCTTGCGATAGATGGTACTAAGCCCTTATAGAGGGAAAAGAATCCTTCAGTTTGGATCATATGGCGAAAAGCACCAATTACTCCACCCAAGGCTTCTCCACCAGGAGCTACCATCTTTGTTCGGATCTGAAATTTCAAAATTGCAAGTTCAACTTTATGTGAAAAAAATAAGAAAGAAGATCAGTAGAAAAAAGCAGTTCAATAGCAACAAACTACTCTACTACTCTAGAAAGAGATTACAAACAGCTAGGCCACAAATTAGCAATCAAGAAGAAGAGAGTGAAAAAGAAAAGAATAAAAAGGCAGGAACAATACAATTGTTAAGATGAAAAAGAGACGACTAACCTATAACCTCAAAAAGCCTGAAAAATGATGAAGAGAATCAAGAAAGAAGAAAAGAAAGTAACAAGTCTGATTCTATATCTGGAATTCTGAAGATACTCTATAGAATAGAATAATACCAATTATTTCTTTGAGGAAGACAAACATGCCAATTATCCTTTTGGGCTAATGCTGAACATAGGAAACTAGGATTAGTGAATTTTTTTGCGGTTCCCATTTTTAAACATTTTTTAAGCTCTAATTTCAATCAACCAACTTTCACTAGCTTCCTACAAAGTACAAACCTTCAAATCTAACATTGCCATGACAAGTAATATGCCAATTGCCTAAAATAGTTCATATGATTCCATAAACAGAAAACATGACTAGAGGCTGATTTCCTTTCAGAAGAGATCCTTACACTACACCCACCTTAATGCAGAAAAAAGATATTACTGATAAAATTATCATAGCAATAATGTTCAAATTATGGAAATTGGTTAACAACACATTTCCCTCTACTGCAAAACTGACTTGTATGAAGGACCAGGAGACACAATTAGATGAACTACATACAGCTCTAGTAAATCTCCTGGAGAAGACCCATCATAATGGTTAGGAGCCCTGCCCTCCATGTATCCCATGCACAAGACAAGAGATCTTCTACATGTCCTTCCTGTCTTAGTGCTCCTGTCAGTCTTATAGGTGGGCTATATGTTCAACTTCATAGGAAAACATGAAGGACATTGATGGTTCTTGGTACAAGCTTAAATGAAACTGACTACAGTGAATTATGTGAACAAAGTGAAAATTTCTGCATACCGTGTCCAAAGGTAAGCAGAGCAGAGTAGCAGTGATGCCAGCTGCAGCACCAGCAAGGAACCTCTCAAAATTTGTGGTTTCCTCATTCCCAGACATTTTAAGCAGTTGTTTTCTGTATGTATCATAAGCATAGAAGTTTACTGCCTTAAATGGAGCTGTACGAAGAATATTGACAAAATTTCCCTTCCAAAAGCCTTTCAAGCCTTGAGAAGCTGCAATTATCTTGATAAGCTCAAATAAATTCCTTTGTTCACCTCGAACTATGTATTCCAGCTTTAATCTTTCAAGTGGAGCAACAAAAGTTCTGAAATAACCAAAAAAAAAAAATCGAATGAGGATGGAAATGCAAAATGTGAAAAGGGAGAAGATAGTTTATAGGAAAGGAAACAAGTAGGATAGCCACTTCACAAGATGAAATACAAGAAGGACCCAATATCCACAAAAAACATATATTGGTTTTCTAAAAAACCATTTTTTTATGAAACAGGTATTCCAAACAGATTCCAAAATAAAAAGTAAGTAATGGTTTGTTTGATATGTAAGAAAAACAATTCTTCCATAGAGTATTCAAAAAAAAAAGAAAAATTAATTGATTCATAAATAAATTTGGTGAAGGTAAATCAAGTTAATCAAGAAGAGGGCCCTGTTATGGAGTAAGGGCTGATCAGTGAAAGCATAACTTAGCTAGTTAGCTGAGGGAGAGGGAAGAGTAAAGTAAGGGAGAAAAAATAAATAAACACAATTTAGTCATAACTTTGTTTTACAGTATTTAGCACGACGTAACTATATGAACCTTATTTGAACTATTTACGATGCAAATCATGTTCTACCAATCCACTCTACAGTCTTTGCTTAAAGCTCGCAAACCTCAAATTATCACTTGATGCTTAGGTCACATCCTTCTTTGCCTACCTCCTATCTTGTAGAGCAGCATAAGTCAGCAACTTTTTCATTGCAGCTATTACCAGTTATTGATCTAAATGACCGGTCTGTGGAAGCCATTTTGACAAAATTCATAGAGTTGAACAAGACGATAGAGTAAACTGACATCTAAACTTCAATTCATGCTTAAATAAGTTGGGAATACCAGGTTAATTTGAAAAAAAAAAAAAAAACAGATCCCCTATACAAATACCAAATAATTTGCAATCGGTGCCAAGAGAATATGTCAAAGAAAGAACAACAAAAGCAAATGTTCTTAGTCCCAGAAAAAGGACAAAAAACAGAAGAAATCAATAAGAGAGAATACAAGGCCACCGTACAAGCACTAGACAAAAGCGACAAAACAACTGCTTTGGCGGGGGGAGGGTTAAGGGAGGGGGATGGGCTACCCCCGTTGTGTAGCCCCATGAGAAAGAAAAGGATCTTAGCTCTTGAATAAATGGCTGAGACTTCAAAATAGGTTGCTACAGAAAGGAAATTAGCTAGGCCATTTCGGCTTAATTTGGAAGCAATACAAATGCAAATATGTACAAAGTAAATACATACAAAATAATATAAAATATAAGGTTTTGCACTCTACATGTTTTGTACTCCTTCTAAACTCAGCCTCTATAAAGTTCTCTCTCATCCAGACTCATTCTTCTGACAGTGTTCACTTGTCCCTACATCAGAATCTTCAGATACTAATCTAATCCCTTCTACTTCCAGTAACTGGACTGATATGGCCAGCTATTCGTTTTATGGCACCCTCACGTCCAATTTCCATCCTCACGACACGGAAATAATTTAATATCGAATTTAAGCAAACCATAGATTTTATTGCCAGTTGCCACATATGATAAGCAGAGGTGGAAAAAACATAAGCATGATTTGCATAACCTGAATGATGACCATAGACATTCTCTAACATAGCAAAACCATGAAGGAATACAGACGATTTCTACCTCTTAGGAATAAAAAATACAATAATTTAGATTAAAAGAACAAACCTTGAAACCATTGCAGCAACTGCTCCAGCCCAGAGATGCTTCGTGGTGTTCATTGCACCTGCTCCCTGTAGCATACCCTTCTCTTCCTTACTCTCCTCAAAGGCCACCGCCTCCTCCGAAATCTTCTCCCCATTTTGAGCCAGAAACACATTCGTCTCTTGAACATATCCATCAGTCCCCTTAATAGACAAGCTCACTGACAAAAAACCATTACTGACTACCCCGTACTCTCTCTTTTCTGGTCGGAATAACCGAAAAACAACGGGTTTCCGACAACAAACCAAAGAAGAACAAGAAGAAGATGTTGAACTCGAAAGCGCAAATAAAGAATTCTTGGATGAAATCAAAGAAACAAAAGAAGCTGGAACAGTTGATTCGAGAAATAACCCTCCGCCAACGAAGAAAATCGAATTCGAGTCCTTCAAAGCTGGAACTTCAGGTAATTGAGATGCAACAGAATCCCTAAACCAGAGTTCCAATCCCAGCATTGTAACAATGTGAAAGAAAAATCCAGAAAACCAATAGATATACAAAAGGAAGTCGAGTTTTTCTTTGGAGATTGGATTCCTAGGGTTTCTTGGGCTTCCGACATTAGTTTATCAGAAGAATGAAGCTTGATCGGTACGAGAGAATCGAATAAAATTGGGACGTCGAGAATGACAGCAAGAACAAGAAGCAAGGGGATTCTGCTTTGGTTCCATTGCCGCACGCTTGAGTTCTTTCTTGTTCCACTTGAACTCGCTTTTTCCGTTTCTTTTGCGGTTTTCTTATTTTTTTTAAACGCGGCTTGCCCTTTTTCAACTTTCAACTTCCAATGGGCATGCTGGCAAAAAGCGGATAATACCGTGACGGCATCTGCTCCTCACAAATGGGCGCTTCGCAGGAATATTCACCATGCATTGGGAACATCTCTCGTAAATAATAATTAATAAATACGAGAAATATTCCCAATGTATGATAGAATGTGCGTCTAGGCGCCTGTGAGGCGACAGATGTGAGGAGCATATTCGGTCTCGAATGCCCTAAGTGCAAAGTTTTCTATAAACACGGATGCGAGCATGCTCGCAACGCCGTGTAAGCTCTAATTACGGAACTAGAGCTGTAATGTGGGCCGGATCGGCACGGCACAGTTGCTACAGTTCCGTGTCAGGCCTAGGCTGCGGAGGGAACCAGACCTTTAAGCACGGCCCAGAGGTTTGGCACGCAAGCACGGTATGAATGCCGCTGCCGCATGCGAGAATATAGACGTTGGAATGGCCGAACGGAGCTACCAGTTATATTTGTCTTTTTTAGGGATATTTTGGCTGAAATACCACTAATTGATATAGGCAATTAATGGCAAGAATTAAAGTATCGAAATCGGATATTGTATCAAACAATTTGGATACAGATATGGGTATGTTTTAGAAATGTATAGATACAGATGAAAAGTATGGAAATGCATGGATACACTAGGAAAATACATATAAATTCTACAAATACATTAACAATACTAAATTTAAGACTAAAATAGTCGCAAATAATATATAAATACATAAAGATGTATCTCTTAGTGGTATATATATGAAAAATATATTACAATTAATATACTAGGATGTGTAGATAATATATAATTTTATTTATAATGCATCAATCAAGAGTCCAAAATACTAAATATATGCACCTATAATATTTTAATTATTATATCAATTATTTTTTATTTTAATTTTTAATTTTTTTAATATTAACAAAAAATAAATAAATATTAAATTCTCAAATGTAAATTAAAATATCAATTAATAATTTATAAAAATATAATGTTAACTTAATGTATATCAAATTTGTTAAAATTTCTAAGATAAATATGGTATACAAATTCGTAATTTTTAATTACTAAAATAATTATTCCATTATTAATATTTTTATTTCTATAAATTATATGAAATAAAAATTCATTTTTTGAAATAAATGTAGATTAGTGGATTTTATTTATATGAATTTCTTGATATTAAAAACCATCTTTTTATATAAATATGGATTTGATAGATTGTTTGTTCTATTAGTTTCTAAAATACTACTTTGCATGTGTTTTTTTTTTGTTTAATATAAATATATGATAATAAAATATATTTTATTTCATTTACTACCACAAGATGAAGTGTGGTCCAATGGTTCAAAAATATGTCGAAAGGCTAACATGCTTGTGACTTGGGTTTAATCCATATTGCATTTTTTTGTTGAGAAATGATATGTGGTGTATCGTGCGTATTGGAACATATCAATGTGTATCGGCTGATACACATCCGTATCCTTTCGATATCTACGATTTACGGGATACACTTTTATTTTTAACATATCCCATAAGCTGACACTAATACAATACTGTATCGGATGTATCATATCGATATTTAAATTCTTGCTAGGGGTATATATGTATTTTGGATCATGGGGAGAAAAAAATGGCTTTAATGCCTCGTAACAACTATATAACAACTAATTAAAAGAGGTACTCCCAATTCCTATAAATACCCCTATCCTCCCTCATTCTCATCACAACAACTCTCATACTCTAATTACTCTCCATAATCTACATGCTTTCATATTCTTAACTCTTTTAATTTCTTCAATTTTATTTTTTATTCCAATTTCCAAGTTTCGACCAGGAGAAGTTTGTCTCAAGTGTCTTAAGTCTGTAAATCAAATACTACAATTTGCCAATTTGGAAACTAGGGAGGTTTAGAAAGATTCATCGGTTGAAAATCAAGGAAATCGATGGTTGGACCAAGTAAGCAGTAATAGATTAAATTTATTTTTTCTAAATTTTAATTTTCATTACAATGGTCAACTCTTTCCAAAATCCTTTTCCTTTTGTTGATGAAACCCAATCTCAATATGACAGCACCAAAAATATTGGTGTTAGTAGCAACAATGTTGCTCTAGATATGGCTTCTACAATCATTGCTACTACTAGTAATGCCAAGTCCTATACTGGTAAGAGAAGGGTTGTTGATGTTTGGACTATGTTTGAGATTAAGGAAATCTTTGGGAAGGGAAGAAAAGTAGTTTGCATAAAATGCAAACATGATTTCAATTGCCACAACAATGGTGGCACTGTCCATTTGTTTAGACACGTGGCATCTCACCTGAAATGAGGAAGAGGAGCAGCTTGAAAGATCAACCTTTGGAGATGTGCATCTACTTAAAAGATTGCCTAGATGTAGAAAATAGGCTACAAGACAAAGGACATGACACCTCAACTAATAGTTCAAAAGATGCAGATGATGGACATGTTGGGCCTAACTTGAAAGAGGGATCGTGCCACCCAAGCATGACCTGCCAAGGCTCGAGGCCCGACATAACACACATTACAAGTCTATACGAAACCAATCATAAGTAGGTGCTTAACAAAAACTGAAAACCTATAGGGGTGCAAATGGATTGATCATGATTTGATCTGATCCGAATTCGATCCTATTTTTGTCAGATTCATATAATCCTCTGTCTGATTTTCGGATTTGTTTGGATTGGATGATAGGATCCAATTGAAAACGAGATCGAATTTATATCACCCCATCCAAATTTATATATACACCTGTGTGTATATATTTATAAACAAATGTATTTATAAAAAGACATGTATATATTGATATATATGATGAAAATAGTTGACAAAATATTTATAATTTTTTTTGTTTTCTATATATAAATTGTTATGTTTTTTCTTTTAATATATTTTTTTAAAATTTTTAGAATTTGAACCGGATCATATTAGATTCAGATATCCAACATTCTTAATGAATTCAGATTCAAATAACCATTTGTGATATCTAATCAAACCTCATATATGTGCTATCGGATCAGATTTGGATATACCTTGATTCAAATCCAAGCCAATGTGTTTGCACCCTTAAAAAATTAAAGTGAATTAAGGAAATCAAATAAAAATGTCCAATTAATGGAATTGATTTGTTTTCTTGTGGTTTGGTATTTTGCAAAAATCGATGATATTGGTTCAGATTTCAAATAATCTAAAAGAAAATTTGACAATTAATTAGTAGACTGAGTATTTATGTATATATATAAATATAATATATATTATATTTTTAATTATCTATTATAATATGACACATTATATATTTATAGTATTTATATTATATTTATATGTTTTTATAATATATATTGAAAACATAGAAAAACTAAGAAATTGAAAAATCGAATGAATCAAAAATCAAACCGATCAACCGATTAACTAATTGATTTCGATTTAGTTTCAGTTCCCATTTTTTCAAAAATAAGTGGTTCCTGTTTGGTTTCAAAAAAAAAGTTCGCCATTCAATTAACCAAATTGTGAGCACCCAACCCTGCTCTCACATCTTCTTTAGAAACAAGTAATTCATTTATCAAAACCGTATAGAATTTGAGATGAGTTTTGCATTTTGATATCAAGGCACAATTTGGGAGGAGTACAAATACAAATATGTAGAGTACAAAACCTTATATTTTGTATTATCTTATATGTACTTATACTGTACATATTTGTATTTGCACTCCTTCCAAACTAAGCCTAAGGTATTTAATACCAAACTCAATTATATTTTACCAAGAATTTAATTATATTTAACATGGGTACTCACTCCCTCGTGGTTTTTGATAAGATCATTTATTTAGACTCCTCTATAATTACATATATATTAAAACCTATCATGCAATTTGTGTATTATACAACACCCCTTATAGTTTACAAATGTTATACTAATGCCATGCCATGTTTGGGAGTGCTTAAAAATAAGTGCTTATTTGGGCCATTAAGCACTTATTCGTATTTGGGATATAAGCCCGAAATAAGTGCTTATTTTAAAAATAAGGGCTTGTTTTGTAAGCCCAAATTTCCAACTTTTTTTAAGTGCTTATACAATAAGCACTTATTCATTTTTTTTCCTTCCAAAATTATCCCTAATTGAATTTTAAAATACCACTTATAAAATTATCCATAGTTGATTTTGATGAGGGGTAATTTGGCATGACCTAGTAAGTAAAGGTCACATGGACGCGATCTACCCATAGGATGACAACTCAACAAAAGGAGCCTAGTCAGCAGTTTTCAGAGCTCGGGTGTTTGATCACCTTGGTACAAAGCCACTTCGGCGTAGAGTCACTTCGGTATAAAAAGCCCCTTGGCACCTAAGCCAGTTCGGGGCCCAGGAACCAAAGTGACACGTAATCAACTCCAGAAGCTTCTCAGTGGACTCCGAACCTCCCAGGATCATGCCGCATAACGGTAAGCCTTATCCTCTCCATGCCTGGATCGGGCGGTAACAATAAACTTCATTGACTAATACGTTACTCCCCGACTAAAGCGGAAACGGATCTCATCTACTCAAGCCAAAGATCCTGGAACCATTTCGTGAGACCCACGGCAGCTCAGCTATATAAGTGCATTAACCCCTCCATGGCCCAGGTACGCAATTATTTACATTCAAGCTCTTAGCTCAAAACCACAACAAGAATACTAACTTAAGCATCGGAGCGAATTCGCCGGGTCATCCACCTCAGTCTCTCTGATCCCTGTTTTGTAGTTTGATCTATCTTGCCACGTGAGCAATGTCTAGGCAACCTTCCAGCTAGGAGCTTCCAGATCGCGCATCATCAATTGGCGCCGTCTATGGGAAACGATCGAAAGGTCATCCCATCCTAGTTACAATTTCAGTCTCAATCTCAATCTCAATGGCATCATCCAACCACAACGGAAAGAGCGACATGAACATCACTGGGGGGCAAGAGCAGCAAACAGTCACTCCCCAGGGT